GTCCTGTGTCTTTGCAGTCGGTGTGAGACTTGGGGAGTGCACAGCGGCCATGACGAAGCCCCGATGAGCACAAAAGCATGCTAACCCCGTGCAGCTATCCCCGCCTAGTTCGTTTCGCTTGTGCTGGACTCTCCTTTGTGCTGTGCACCTCGCTTGCCTCCCGGCCTTTGCCGAGAGTTGTCGCTCCGACGGTGTCCCCTATATGGCAAGCAATGATGATGAACACAGCCTTCATTCCAAACAGAACACATTCCTTGCCGTACACAATCACGAAGGTACACTTTGGCTGGAGCCCCCTACTGTGTTTTGAGAGTCTGTTCAGCTCGGTTTGTAGTTAGTTTGCTTGTTTGCGGCACAGGTCCCCTGATGAAGCAAAGGGGGCAGGGTATACGCAAGCGATAGGGGAACGCAACACATGATCGGGTTCCTGTGCCAGTGGTGGTGTGCTGTGAGCGGAGCGGGTGCCTGGGGTTTAGGAAGCAGCGAGGGAACTTCTGTCCCCGGCGATGGCGTCGTGCTCCGCGATGTGCTCGAGGAGCTCGACCAGGGGGGCGTCGTCTGCGGGCCAGTGGACCCAGGGGAAGTCCCTGCTTTTCCGCGCTCAGACTTTCTCTCGCCTTCCCGTGCCGTAGTGCTCGCCCTGGGGGGAGTTGCCGAAGAGCTCAAGGTTGCTGCGGGTGGTGGTGTGGCTCCGCGCTCCTCGCTTCTCTCGCCGTCCCGTGCTGTAGAACTCGCCGCTCTCATTTTCCCCCTCGTTGCTCCTCGCTGTAGGGGTCACCTCAGTGGAAGTAGTCGGGGAGCTCGTGGTGCTCGAGGTTGTCCCGCTCTTGCTGCCGCTCTCGCCGTCCCGTGCTGTAGAAGTCGCCGGGGTGAAAGTCGCCGTAGGGCTCGTGGTGCTTGGTGAAGAGGTCGTAGGGCTCGTGCTGGGTCCTGCCGCCGAGGTCCTCGCCGGGGAACTCGCCGAGGTTGTGGGGCTTGCCCCCCACGTTCCTTCTCCATTTGTGGTAGTACTCGCCTGGGACGAGGTTGTCGAGGAGCTCGTGGTGCTTGTAGGCGGCTCTTCCTCGTGCTCCACGTAGTCTTGGCTAGGGGGTTCGTTGTCCCCTAGTCCTGTGGCCGTTGCTGCAGCCGGTTCCGCCGCTGGGTCTCCAAACCGGATGGTTGCCCACGCCGCGCAGGTTCCCAGCAGCGCCGCCGTGAGGGCTGCAAGCGCGCCCGGCACCGTCTTCATGGCGTCGGGGCGGTTTGGGCTGTTGTCCCCTCTAGACTTCCTGCAGTGAGAGCTGGGGGCCGCGCGGAACCGGATACGCAGTTGATCCCTTCACTTGCGACTCTGAGCTGCAGCACTGGCTACTGCAGGGCACTCTCGTGCCGCGGCTGGGCCCGGCTGAGCGTCTCGCCGTGGTTGTTATGTATATCGGAGCGAGGGAGGGGAGAGTGGAGACAGGAGGGGAGATATATGTGTATAAATTGGCTCGCAAATCAAAATGAAAAATGGTCAGTCCTTGTCTGGTCGTCTCTCTCTTGGCCGGGGTCTTTATGGGCACATGCCCCCGGTAATGGCTAACAGCCCCGGGGAGGCTGCCGGCGGTCTTCCCGAGTGGCCGCGCCGCTTGCCCTTGCCCTTGGCCGTCCCCGATCTGCCCTGCTGGATGTTTCCCAGCTGGGCTTGCTTCCCCGTTGCCCACTCCACATCGAACTTGAGAACAAATTCGTCTGTCTTGGCAGCCCACCTTTCCCTGTGCTGGGCGACCTGTTGCCAGTCGTCCCCTGCCACTTTGGCCACTTTCCTCTCGTCGTCAAGTTGTGTGTTGTACTGGTGCGGGTGCTTAGCCCGCACTCGGTCCGGAAGTTGTTGCTCCGCTCGCCACCATTCAAGATTCCTCCAGGACAGAATCTCCCGGGTAGGTCCCGGGTGTCTGGCGACGTGGCCGAGGAGTTGCCATCTGACGCGCAGAATGAACGAACTCCACCGTCCTCAGGCCTTGTTCCGGTGGACAACGAGTCTGGCTTCGCGCAGGGAGCGTTGATTCCAGGAAAGCCACTCCTCTTGGGGCTTTCGCTTCCTCCCGATGATTTCACGCACATAATGGTATTGGAGGCTGTTAGCCGTTCTGAGCAAGTAGTCTGATATGGGCCATGTCTCACATGCCCATAAAGCCGCGCTCCGTAGCAGGGTGATGGATGAGCGCAGACGGTCGTCTAGTTTCGCCTCCGCACAGCACAAGAGCTGCCGGTTTGCATGAAAGCTCTTACGGGCCCGATGCTGCATTTCGCTCACGATGGCCCCCGGGGCGTTGACAAAGGTCACAGGAGACCCCAGTACTGGCATGATGGCTTCGGGGCCTAGGCTGTTCACGGTCTGGCCCCCGATGGTAAAGGAGCCCCCTTCTTCCATGCTGCACATCACCATCGTCTTTTTGGGGTTGATCTCAAGGCCCCGCTCCGCGAACCTTTTGACCACCTCGTGGAGGCACTGTTGGACCCAAGCTTTGTTCGCGCCCCATACATACGTGTCGTCCATGAAGGCCCCGATGCCGAACGGCGCGGGCGGTAGACGGGGGTGATCTCCCCGAATCTCGTGGGCTTCCATATCTTGGATGACCTGGTCGATGGCCTCCCCTATGCCTGCTGAGAAGAGCGACGGCGAGTCCGCGCTGAAGCCCCGGGCCCCTATCACTTGAAGCCATGCTCGGGCCTCCCACGGGAGGGTGTCCCCGACCTTCTCTGTCACGAGCGTGGAGAGGTACTGTTGGCTGATGGAGTCAAAGGCTTTACGAACATCAAGCTTGATGATCCAAAACTTCTCCCTCCACTCGTGGGCTTGTTGCGCCAGGCGACGGAGGGCCATGATGAGTTCCACCGACTGGCTCCCCGTTTTGCAGAACTGCAAGTTGCCAATGGGGCGGAGCAGGGGCAGTCCCCTTTTCAGAAGCAGCTGGGCCAGCGTCTTGAGGAGGATGTTCGACAGGGCGATGGGCCTCGTGTCTGCGAACTCGAGCGGGGCGGGGACTTTGGGCAAGAGGATGGCCAGGCCATCGTCCAGCCCCGCGGGCAGCTTGCTGACGTAGAGGATGTCGTTGAGGAGCCACAGTAGGCGTCCCAGACCCCCCCCTTGTCAGGGAGATGTATCGAACTGCCTCCAGGGAGATCCTGTCTGTCCCCGTGCTCTTGTTGTTCTTCCATCTTGCCATGATGGGCCGGAGCTCATCTTCCCTGAAGGGGATCCAGGGTGTCGATTTGCATCGCCTGGTGAGCTGGTCGTGCAGGGCTCGGGCTGTCCTGCGCACGGCGCTGGGGTCCTCCTTTGCAAAGATGCCTTGGCTTCCCAACTCTTGTGGGGGCGACGCTGCGTCTTGAGCTCCCTATAGGATGCCCATGATCGCTCCCCGGCTTGTTTGACGAGCTGACGCATCCAGGCTTTATGTTCCTCCTTGCGCTTGTTGAGGATTGCTTTCCAGGCGCTTCGTCGCGCAGGCCCCGGTGGCGTGAGTTGCGCTTGCCGTCGTAGCTTCTTCAGGTCGGTGCTCTCGCGGTACCGCGCCGATGTTCTTGTGGTGGTGACCGCCATGGCCGCTTCTTTGAGCCCCTGATGGATGTCCCCGTGCGGCTGCAGGATATTCTGAACTTGATCCTCGGGCACGGGCGGGAAGCGTAGTGGCCGAGGTCCCCATGCCGGTGTCTGCTTGGCGGGAGCGGCGGGTGGTTGGTCCCCTTGCAGCACAATGGCCACTGCTTCGTGGTCGGAGCTTGGTATGTCCCTGTGGTCGCCAATGTAGTGACCTTCTGCAGTCCTCCCTCGTATCGCCACGAAATCGATTCGCCGCGGTCTGAGGGCCGTGTTGTACGGGAAGTGCGTGGGCCGCTCCAGGTCTTGGGGGGGCAGCTTGAGGTGCTGCTTTGCGAGCCACTGAAGGAGCACTTCCCCTCTACCTGTGGTGGCCAGTGGCTGGTGACCTCTCGCCCTGAATGCCTCGTTTGCGTCCATGCCCATTGCTACGAAGCGCATCTTGGTCGCCTTGTGGTCCCCGAGCGCGTGGAGCTGTGCCTGGGCCTGGTCGATGGTGGCGTGGTGCGGGAGGTGGTAGTTGAGGAGCCCGGCTCGTTGCTGACGGGCTCGCTTGAGGCAGGTGCTAAGTCCTGCATGGCTGACTTGGGTGTGGCAGTGCGTGCCGAGGCTTGTTCGGAAGGCAATGGCAAGCCCTCTCCAGTCGTCTTTTGTTCTCCCCGTGATGAGGCGCCAGTGCTTGTCTGACTCGAAACCGGTCCCTTCAGGAGCGATAACTTCTTGAAAGAACCAGACATCAACAGTGTCAAGGGGTGGCTGTCCCCGAAGCGCGGGAAGCAGGACCTGCAGGATTTTCGGCGGGGTAAAGCCCCCGAGATTCCAGGACGCCACGGAAAGTTTGTACTGAGTCGGGGCGGTACCTTCAGGTAGTCCCCGTTGCGTTTGGTGAAACTGGTCGTCAGCAGAAGCTAGTCAACGGAGGTGTGCGGCCAACGGCCGCCATGCTCTCTTCACTTCCTCCTCGGTGCTGCCAAGTTGCCGGGCCAGTTCGCGTAGGTTGATCCACCCCGGTCCGGCTTCTTCTGCCCCCTCCGGTTTGCTCCCCCCAGCCGAGGCTACGCGGCGTTGTCGGTACCACACAGACCCCGACGACCATTCGACTTCCAACTGTTGGTTGTTGCCGTCCATCTCCAAGATCAGTCTCTTAGCCTTCGCCGCCAGTTGCGCTCGCTTGCGGCGCTCCGGTGGCTGACTGACCGCCATCCAGAGTCTTGAGGGCGAGCCGTCGTCCCTGGTACTCAGGGTGATGTTGGCGGCCCTGACCTGCTGCACAGCCTGCTGAATGCGAAGTCTCATGTCGTCCCCGTTCTCGTCCTGCCTGGGGAGCATGGGGACTATAACGTAGCCCCTTCTGAGGCCTGGCACGAACGCCCCCTCGAGATCCACATCGACCTTCAGCTCTTGGAGCATCTGCTTGGCCTTGTCAAGGGTGACCTTAGCTTCCTGGTTCGGGTCCCACCCGCCCACGATGAAGGCTGGGCGGCGGGGATTGTCCCCTGAGCTCCCTGAGGAGTGCGGGTCCTTCTTGAGCTGGGCCAGCTGCTCCTCCAAGGCCAGCACCCTGTTGACCAGCTGCTTTGTCTCTGCCCCCGTCTGGACGAGGGTGACTGCTTGCTTCTCCTGTTTAACCGCGAGGTCCTGGATCGTTGCAAGGGTCTGTTGCAGCTGCTTGGTGACCCCTTTTTCGACAGCTTCCACTCTCTTGTTGACTTTGGCCATCGCTTCCCCGATCTCTTCGTTGATCCTACTCTGCTGCGTCGCAAACCCGGCCTGTAGCTCCCCTCGCAGCATGTCCGTGATGGCGACCAGAAAGCCTTGTTGTTCCACTGAGGCTGGTGCCGTCGGCCCTGCTTGGCTCGGTGCTCGCCGTTTGTGGGGCGAGGCTCCTTCGTGATCCACCGGCATGCCCTCAAAGAGAGAATCATCCAGGGCGGGCGCGGGGGGACTGTCCCCTGGGACTGTCAGGGCTTCCGCTGACAGCACTGCAGACGTAGGTGAGAACGTGGTGCTGAGGCACTCTGAGAGGGTGGGGATGCTTGCCCCCCCGTCAGCACTGCCCAGCGGCGATCCTGCCGGGGCTACCCCCGCATTTCCTCCCATGGTAGAGTGCATTCTCGGTGGGCACCCAGCGTAGGGCTCCGGGGCGAGGCCCGTGGAGACAAACAGGTTGCGTAGGGTCGCCGAGTGCCCTCAGGTAGCGGTACAGGAGCTCCCCTGGTCCCGCTTGTAGGCCGCCGATCCCGAGGGGGTCCGAACCTGACTATGTCCTCCCGGCGGGCGCTCACGGGGTAGACGAGTAGTGCTGCCAGCCCCGCCGTACAGGAAGATGGCAAGCTCTGGCAAAGGCACGCTCTCTCACGGACCGCCCGGGTTTAAGCCCCTGAAAGCTCTCCTCTCAAGCACTGGGCGCGGGGCTTGAGCACTCGCGGCTTGAGCCAAAATGGCTACTCTTGCTTGCTTGCTTGCTTGCTTGCTTGCTTGCTGGGCGTTTGGGGTGTGGGAGCGCCCACAGCCCCTGCGCGCAAGCGCTACGCCAACGTCCTGTGTCTTTGCAGTCGGTGTGACACTTAAGTGGGGCAGCACAATCGGCAAGGCAACACGCACTCCCCTAAACAGCCTGACTCACAGCACTAACTATGCAACACTCCCCGCCTGGTTCTTGCCGTTTGTGCTGAGCCCCTCACGGTTCTGTGCTCCGCGCTTGCCCCCGGATATTACCGGGGGGTTCAGGG